TAGGGCTGATCTCACCCTCCAGTAACTTGCTTGCAATGAAATTACAATTGGGGTATAGGGTAAGGGACTATTTGTACTACAAGAGGAGATGTGGTAATGCAAAAGAACATTACACGAAATCGAAGAAGAAGTCAATGCAGAGATGCTATGATAGCATGTAATGAGGAGGAAAGACAGTCGGACTATTGCTGTCCAAGGAACAAAAAATAGACCGAATGTGAACATAACACCCTTGAAAGTACACGGAAGGAGACCCATTAGGGAAGAGAATATAGATGAAGATGAGGAGTCAATTGATGCTTACAAGGAATGGTTGCACGTCATGCATAAGGAAAACCGATTCACGGGTAAGTGTTATGTTGGACTCCTATATATTTCAAAATTGTTGTATTATTTTATATTGGAGAAGCCTTTGTACTAATATTAGCTTGGTGACCCAGATTTGAAAGATATCGACAGGATGACACCACCAAAACTTACAAAGAATGGTTAAGGGTGCAAGGACAACTGAATGATATTAGTAATATAACATCTGTCCCTACATGTCTATTGTTAATATTCCTTCACAAACATATCATATCTTACACAAGTGACCAATATTTTCTGCAGTGGCATATGTGGACAGTAATCATCATACAGATGTAGTACTTTCAAGTGAAGATAGCAACCCCACACCGCCAAAGAAATGTAACTATCTCATGCTCGGCGTTTCATTCCACAGGAGAGGGAACTAGTAAGTAATGAATATTTTCAATTTATTGTGAGGTTCAAGATTAATTTTAAACTATGTCAATAGTTTTTAAGTGTTTTGCTTTGTATATAATTGTTTTTCATGGACAAGACTCCAAAAGAGGAAGCCAAGAGGTAACTTGAAAGGATGGATGAGAACAAACAAGAGAACCAGGGGGCGCCTCTGTAAGCTTAGCATCCAGCCTTCTCTAGGCTTGGAGGACCTGTAGGTTCAAACAAACGAATATTTGTTGATGAAATAACACTGCTTCACGAGGAAAAGAGCACCTCTCATCGGAGTAAGAACATGGAGAGATATCCATGTGGATGTCAAAATTGCAATAGCAAACGATGTCTTTGGTAAGCTTCATTATCCATGTGGATGTCAAAATTTCAATACCAAATTATTGTTTAAGAAGTAATTTATTTAGGCTTTACCTTGAGCAAAGCTAAGTGGGACCTTGAGGATAACGAGGCAAACAGAATCAAGATATGGACGGTGGCTAATGACCGTTACAAAGGATGGCGATCTACATTTAGTGCTACCTACAAGGCGTACACCACCTGAAGAGAGAATGAGACATAGGCCGTAAGAATTAGACATTGTTGAGTGGCACTATCTCGGTGTCGTATTTTTTGGCACCAAGAATTCCAGTGTTTGTTCCCAATTTTAAAAAAAAACTTGCCAATTCTACTTACGACGTCAAGGTTTATGTTTTATGACCGCTGATTTTATAAAAAATCAAATCATTGTTGGTTCTGTGCGAGAGGATTAGCAATAAGAATTCTCGAATCGGCACAATCGACGATACACCATGTTACAGGATCAAAGGGTTTTTCTCAATTGAGCTATGAGAAGGTAAAAAATTACATCACAAGGTTTTCCTTCGTGCATTTTTTATGGTTTGTGCTTGTGCCCCTCAATGACAATGACATGATATTGTTATAACCTATATAGTCTTTGTATTTGATAGAGATATTTAGCCCACTGCCCACTACAAAAAAAATATATTTTGCATCCTTGTATACGAAAAGCTGAAAAGTACTAAAACTAATGTGTGCCAACAAAAGAAGAACTTGGATTCTGTTCTTTTTCAATAGCAATAAATATTTCATTATCTTCTGCTTTTTAAATTGTGGTGGATATCTTCCCATCTTTACAGTTTATAAAAGCTTCTACATTTCACTAGATTATGAAATATGGCTAATTTTTTTATATTCTTGCCTAATTAGAGGGACCAACTAACTGGTGAAGAGCCAAATGATATGGAGCTTTTATGATGACCCACCAACAAAATGGACAATGGACAAGCGAGGAATCTAGGGAAGTCTATGTGAGTATTAAACAGTTTTACAACCCTTATTAAGTGATGCAACTGTCCTCACTTAGAATTAAAGTTTTAATTAACTAAATGTCTTTGCTTTGTTAGGACAATGCAACCAGGAAGATTATGGAGTCGGAGTCAAGGCTCGACGCAAATGTCGCCTCGGACTTGGAGCGTAAACATTTTCCAATCAACCTACAAGGAAACGAGAAAAATCAAATCAAACAAGATGCATGCTAATGGTTACCTTGCAAGGTACCCAACTAGAAAGGAGCTACTATCGGAGGACTACCAACATAGCGCAACAGGAGGAAGCCCTCATTGAATCGTTTGGACGGTACCAAGATAGACTAGAAGCTCAAGAAGTTGAAAGGGAAGCCGAGAGGCAAGAACATAGGCGTCGACTTGAACAGATGAACAAGGAAAGGGAGGTCGATAGAGAAGCACTTAGGCAAGCTATGTTAATGTTGCAAGCAGCCCAACAAAGCAAGCTTCAAAGACAAAAGGTAATATTAACAACATCTATGTTCTCATAGTTTATTGAACTGAAAATCATGATCTTGAACCCAATTCAAATGCAAAGCTAGCACAATTGTGGAGCTAATCGAAAATGTTGTTCTTCTTTGCAACAATTGAGGGACACAAAATGTAACAACTACAATGGGAGAACACATGATGCATAGTCACAGGTAGTTTGATGATAATTGAAGAATGTTTAATTATAACATGCATGTCATATTCTTGTCAAGGGGTGTAATTTTTACCACCAACCATTTATTTTCAGGTTACCCAAGAAACCAGCCAGCCAGAACAACAACCCCTTCTCCCGCAAAATTGAAGAACGTCTCACTAGAGGGCGCATGACTAGAAGTAATTTGGCAGCGAATTCGGTGTCATGTTTATACTACAAAGACAAAGCAACTCAAGGAAATCTGCGGCTAGGAAAAGATCTCGCATTGTCCAAAAAGAATACACAGGTACTATGTGAAACCTTTTATCTCTCTTTGCATTAAAAAGGAACATATAGTCCTTTTGGAGAAGTACATAGCTATTCTTTTGTTCTGCTCCTAAATATGGTCCAGGCTTAGTTTCCTCTTGCTGATTAGAAATATATATGGATGTGTTTGTGCTCATAAAATGTCTTGGGAGGCAGCTGCATGTATGTTTATATTTGCTTTACGCTTCAAAGTTCATGGTTGATAGTACTGCAGCTCACAGTAACTCTAGTATCTGCAGCTCGTGTTTTGCTTCAAGTGTTCAATTAGCTTTGCCACCACTAGTCTCAGCTTTAACTAATGCATGTCAATGATTTTTTCAGAGGAATCTTGAGTTTGAGAAGGAGCATGCGAATGGTGGGACGATGGCCAACATACATATCAAGGGAACCTTCATTGCTGATGAGACATTAGTCTTTTGATTCAATGAGTTCAAATAAGATGCAGGCTTAACACATTATTATGTGTTAAGCTATCTACTTGTGTTCTCATTTAGTTTGACACTGGTGTGTTTTGTTAAAGATTTTGTATGAACAAATTATATTTCGTTTTAATGGATGTCGATGCTTCCTTCATTATGTATTTGTCGTTTTGCGATTATTAATTTAAGCTACCAAACAAAGTGTCGCAACATGAATTATTAATATATTAATCATGCGTTGCAATATATGATGGCACATATAACAATCACATTTAGTCGTGGCAATAGGTACGATAATCGTGGCAATAGAGAAACTATCTCTTGCAACTACAAAAAGATGACGGTGGCAATAGAGGAATCTACCTATAGCAACCCGAGATAGTTAGTAACGTGGCAATAGATGACCCGTCTCAGAGCAACCAACCTAAGTAACGTGGCAATAGCCTATGCCATCTATAGCAACCATTCAGAAACGTGGCAATATATGACCTCTCTGTAGCAACCAACCTGAAGAGATGTTGCAATAACCTAAGCCACCTATAGCAACCATTTAGGCGACGTGGCAATAGAGAACCTCTATTGCAATGCTTTCTCTGCGTAGCAACAACCACGATTGCAACACTTGTGTTGCGTTGCGCTTGCATTGTGTTGCTACACGACCAACGTGTCGCAATACGTATCGCTAGCAACACCTAGTTTGTTGCAATTGATACTATTACCACACCCATAGTGGTTGCAATTGCTTTTGTTACAACACTCACCAGGTGTTGCAAAAGCGTCAAAAGTGTTGCAATAGAGGGGCTGTGTGTCGCAACTAAAATGTAACCCATTGCATTATGCTATTGCTACCCTTACAAGTGCAACGACATTTAACAAAAAAAAAATTGGTAGCAAAATTACTATGGCTACCATTTTTGGGTCTTTTGCTACACTTTTTTGGCGTTGCAGTAGACCGAAAATCTTGTAGTGCATAGAGTTTATCCTAGAGAATTATAGGGAATTAATTTTAGTCATAGATTTACTTCTCACGTAAAATCTTCCATGGAGAATCTGAAGAAAAAGAGCTCCGCCAAGTTGACCCGAAATTGGTACTCCGGTCAACGGCCGGGTACAATATCATAAACATGGAGTCTTCTTCTTAGTTTTTATTATTGTCATACACTTGAATTTGAATTGATGAAGGGACTACATATATGTCGCAAAGCTTATATAGAAGGAAGTAGGAGATAAATTTACATATGCATGCATACCCCAAGCGATAAAACTTAACAAAACTCACAGGTGTGCATTGCAGACTGATGGCTAGCTGAAGGCGCAATCAAGAAACACCGTACCGGCCTTCGCATCACACTAGCTAGCTCGCACGAACATGTATATAGATAGATAATTATTACAGTAGTAGATGAGACAGTGAAGGAAGAGCGAGCACGCATCACTATCACATAACAAGACATGGATATATATAGCTTAACAATCCATATATATGATTGTTGCTTGATTGGAGCCTCTCTTGCATGTATGTATGTATGCTTAGTCGCGGCTCTTGAAGGGGATGGCCCTGATGATGACCACGTGGTAGATGGCGGCGAGAGCAGCGCCGATGAAGGGGCCAACCCAGAAGATCCACTGCAATTAATTGCATTGAGAATTTGAGATGGAATGGAAATGCAATGGATCGAAGAAGAATATATGAAATCATGAAGAAGAATCGATCAGGTAATCAATAATAACTCACGTGGTCGTTCCATGCGTGGGACCTGTTGTAGACGATGGCGGCGCCGAGGCTGCGTGCGGGGTTGATGCCGGTGCCGGTGATGGGGATGGTTGCCAGGTGCACGAGGAAGACGGCGAATCCGATGGGGAGCGGCGCGAGGATGGGCACGTGTGAGTCACGCGCGCTGCGCTTGGCGTCGGTGGCGGAGAAGACGGTGTAGACGAGCACGAACGTGCCGACGATCTCGGCGCCCAGGCCGTCGCCCTTGGTGTAGCCGGGGTTGACGGCGTTGGCGCCGCCGCCGCCGCCCATGTACAGCGTCTGCTGGAAGCCCTTGACGACGCCGGCCCCGCAGATGGCGCCCAGGCACTGCATGACCATGTAGAAGAGCGCGCGCGTGAGCGACAGCTTCCGCGCCAGGAAGAGGCCGAAGGTGACGGCCGGGTTGATGTGGCCGCCGGAGATGCCCGCCGTGCAGTAGACCAGAGCGAAGATCATGCCGCCGAAGGACCAGGCGATGCCCTGGATGCCCACGGTGGCGCACTTGCTGGGCGACTTGCTCACGCCCATCACCGTCAGGATGCTGATGTAGAGGAAGAGGAAGGTGGCCACGAACTCGGCGATCCCGGCGCGGTAGAAGGACCACGACGTCAGCTCCTCCGCCTCGAACAGCGGCGCCGGCGGGGGTTCCTTGTAGTCCTTCTCCTCCGTGCCCTGCGCCGCCGTGCCGATGGGCTGACGCTCCGAGTAGCGGTTGGCACCCAGGCGGACATCCTCCTCCTTGCCCTCCATCTGTGAGGTGATTTGCTTGGGTGTGTGAGCTAGCTAAGCTGAGCTGAGGTGAGTGAGGAGGCTGTGTGAGGCAGAGGGGATGGCTTTCCAGAGCTTTTTATAGCGGCAACCTAATGTAGCGAAATTGAAGGCCCTGTCTTGAGCGCGGCTAGCTGCACATAAATTAATTAGTGTTGTTTGTTTTTGCTGCCAAGCCACTAATTTCTCAATTAGTGGCGACTGGTGGATGATGATGATGATATGGTTTTGGTTGGTTTTCTTAATTAGTGGCTGACAGGGTTCATTGTGCAGACCTATATGCAGGCTGAGATAGTTAGATTTGTTTAGTCTGTTGGTCTGTGGCCTCATCAGCGCGTGCAAGAGGTGGAGGTGGCATGGCGGAAGGAGAAAATTATTGAGCATTTTTTTTTCCCAAATTGCACATCAGTATAAACGCTGCTGATAAGAGGATAGGAAATTAGCTGGTGTTAGGAAATTGGAAATTAACAAATTATACTAATTTAGACGGTGATAAGATAGGATTAGTAGGGCCTTAGGTTTAACCAAACCGAATTATGTATTTAAATGGACTCTGGCTATGTAGCTTAGCTCTGGAAAGTTGTGGCCTCCACTCCAGTTGGTAGACACGGACAGATAAGTGGTCAGTTAGGGGTGCTTTATCCTTTGTGAGCTCATCTAGCTGTCCCCACTCCCTAGTTGTGTCACTACTCTACTAGTTTATAAGCTAATAATCCCTTGATCAATAATGATAGCCACAAACCAGCCACCACGCCCTAAGTATGGACTAACAAACATCGCAAACAAATAAACCATCTGATGACATACATATATATTAGTTTCCAGCCGTAACCGTGCATTGCAACGCAATTTACATCTTGCGCCTCATATGTTCTAAAACTTGCGATATTATTCTAACTCACACGAGCATGAGTTCTGAGTCACGGAAGAAACAATAAACCACTCTAATACATAATAATTCATCGGATACTACTACTACTCTTAGCAAAATTAGTTAGGACGGCTTCTAAGAGTGAAGGAACACGAGGACACAGGTATGGATTGATATTATAGATTAGAACGTCTTTTAACCCCTTTTATTTATACTGAAAACCGGACTAGCTAGAGGGTGAAATTAACCGTTACCCACTAGGGTAACAGCGGTCAAAAAAAGAGGTGGATCATGGCATGGAGAATCGTATCAAGGGGCACTAGCCAACAAGTGAAGGAAGCCGACCAAACCAGCAGATGCCGCCGCCCTGTACAAGGACTAGAGGAAGAACAGGGCGTGGACAAGGAGGACAGCGATGGCGTGGGACGGCAGCCGCTGCTTCATCGCTGGCCGCACAACGCGCCACCCCCGACCTCACCTGCACCAAAAACGACTCTTAAATCATGTAAAGGCAGCCGCACCGCACTCGCACTCCTGTAGAAGAGGAAGAATCGCGGCTTGGCTATTCATCATTCGTTACAAAAAGGGAACTGTCTCGTGCATCGCCACAGTATTTCTTCTTCTTTATTTAATTTAATATATATATATATATACATACAGGTACATAAATAACAAGTAACTGGTCACGAGAGGGAGAGGAAATACACCCACCCCTACCATTTCACGGATGATCGATAATACATACTACACAATGACTGTCACATCATCTCACCGACAGAGCCAGCAGCCTCTTGCCACGTGTCTAAGATCACGAACATGTCCACTCAAAACCATGCATACACATATAAAAACTAGGATCGAGGCCAGATTTGATTACTTGGAGCTGCACAGCTGTGGGTGGACTCAGGCACCAGATAGATATCTATATCTCCCACATGATGCAGTGCTGGGAAATAACCCAGCTATAAAGCTCCTCCTACCTTCCCGCACCTTTTATCCAGTGTCATAGCATCACTCATATACTATACAATACACCACCTGATGTACAACGAACGTACTAGGATCACGATCAGGGGGCGGGTCTAGCTAGAGTTATCCTATGTAGGGTTCATTGCAAATCAGTAGACTCCTCCATTACGTCGCGCACCATTAACCGTGAAACTTCTTTACACAAGGGTCGTCAGCAGCAACATTCTCGGCCAGGCCACATCAGGTAAGGTTAGTCTTGTTTACGACGTCGAGCTGACCGCAACAGGCGAGTCCTTCGGGGATGGGTGCGTGTGCATGTGCGTGCACACTCTCTCGGGCTGCCCTTTCGTCCACAGGTTTCTGAGTTCACCTCTCTTCATGCCGAGTGCTATGAAGGTGCCTGCACAAATTTGGTAATTTGTTAAAACAAAAAAAAGGAGCCTATCCAGAAGACATGGCATGAAATACTTCTACATTGATAGTATCATCAGGGGGCAAGGCGCCACTTACCAATCGTGAAAGGCACAATGTAAAGGAGAGCTGGCTGGCCATGGCCATCCATAAGGTTCAAGGCAACGTATGTAATTAGGAGACCTAAGAAGGACAACAACAGCACCGTATGTCAAGGACAATATGGTGGTGAAACGGCATCAAGACAATATGCGCGCAAGACTTTGGCTAAACATTCATAACCACATATGGGAAATAGTCATTTTAATGAGTCCACACAAAACAGAAGCCAATATTCTACACCACATATGGTCAAAGGCATGTGCACAATTTCCTCCATATTGTTGTTGATTCATGATATCAAATTCACACAACTGAACTCTAAATCAAATCAAGGTGGGTTTGGTAATATGATGTAGGTGTATGTATTCGACGCATCAACAGATCATATTGCAATGATGCAAGACAAACTTTTTCTTTCTTCCAGCGTTCATTTATGCACAGGAAGCCATTGGAGTTAGATAGCACTTATGATAACACAAATTCAGAAAGTAGAAGGTGCGGTAACCAGCAACCGTGAGCAGCGGGGAATTGTGTGATCCTATTTGCAAGGCATACATTGTTAAGATGCAACCTTGTGCCAAAAAAAGGCCAAATGAAGAAATGTGCTATCAAGCATAGCAGTTTTAGGTGCTTGTACACAAAATGCATCACTCAGAAACGCCTCTATCAGTAGTGCTTGCATTCATCCATCCATCTGACATGGCTCTGAAATAGAAGCACTGATATATTACCGGAACCATATGCCACCATTGACCACAAAAAGTAGCCAGATTGCAAGGTCTTCTTGGCAGCCCAATCATACCTAAAGACAGAGGAATAAAAGGTATTTCATAACTAATGACAGATAAGTACTTATTATAGAGAATATGAAGAAAGTTGATTACTGTTATCCAGCCTCTACTTCTGAAATTAGCATCACCTTAATGCAAAAGCAACCAACAGCCCAGGAAGAAGGATATCACCAAAGCCTATGATGCTGTATCCGCCCCATGGATCAAACATCCGAGGAATCTTTAACAGCATGGGTACACCATCCTCATCAGTCTTATCACCACGTGCAACCTGCGAGCAGACCACATGCATAGCTAGATATCTAGCAAACCATAGAAGAAGAAACTAGATGTCTAGCAGACAGCAAATATCAAACATCACAATAGTCATTCATACATACCACAATCATCACACTTTCATGGAATATCATCTTGGAGATAAAAACCCAGAAGACGTCATATAAGAAGGCACAACTCAGGAGGGCTGAACCCACCTGACAGTTAACAGGCAATAACAGGTGTCAGTACCAATCGCTTAACTGAATGGAAAGCATACATTAAGAGGAATAATCACCTTGAGGTTAGGTATTCTAACAATTTGGATGACTGTAACGATCAAGGTAATACCCTAAAGGCCACCAAACAAGATATTAGTGATAACAGATTAATCTCAACAAAAGGCATTGAAAATAAAATGACACTCACAAGAATATCTTGCCCAATCCAAGCATAGGACAACCGGCGATAAACACCCCACAGAACAGCAAATACTATGCAAAACGGACAAACTGCCAATGTAAGGTATGAAACAGCTCCAAAAAATGGCACTTTCACAAACGATTCTGCAGCAGGTTTAAACCGCCTGAAAGATCCCATGCCTTCTACTCAGTAACAGTAAGAAAAATACACATAGCTGTAGAACCTGATATAAAAGGGAGCTAAGAAATGTCTAAATATTCATCTTGAGTCAGAAAAAAATAACAAAATTTACAGAGCATACCTTGACATCGACAGTAAGCCCACCAAGCATGTTTGCAGACCCTTCACAGAAGAGGGAAAAACATCACAGGAGCTCAAGAAATGGAAGGCAATACATTATTATGAGTAACAAATTCATATTGCTATCTCATGGAGACATTGATACACCCACACAACATCACACTTGGTCATTCCAAAACTAACATAAAGTTCTTTGGTCAATTTGTGGCAGTTCTTAATTGTCCAAAAACAATGAATTACAGATAAAGATGAAAGTGTCTCGGTGTTCTCTCAAAAGTGAAAGCATATTATCAAAGCACATCGGGATTTGGCCATTTGGGTGATTTAGTTTTTGGAAGCACAAAAGCACAGTTCAGACAGATGCAATACCAGAAACAAAAATGAAATGGTACACACCTCTACACCACCTATGCAAAAGATAACCACCAGAAGCTCCACAAACCAATGAGACATCTTCTTGTAGAGTGTTATCAAGAAGCATGATGCAATCACCACAAATAGTATTGCCGATGCCATGTTGATTTCTACCATACCACTAGAACCTCCAGCCTCAAAGTTTGGTGGTACTTCATGACCATCCTATACAAGTATTGTACCTGTCAGTCCTTCTTTTCAAGTGCGCAAAACTAGCAATAAGAAATCAAACAAGAATTGGGGTTTAGAACCTTCAGAAGCTTCTCTTGTTCAATATCTGCTTCTCGGGCGCTCCATGCTGACCAGTATGATGCACAAAGAATGGTACCAACTGCCATAAGCCATAGAAACACCTCTGCAGTATCAACCAGAGGACGATCTGGAGAGTACAGCTCCACTAAGACTGACAAAAAAAGGAAAACGTAAGCCTGTTAGCTATCTTACACTAAAATAACCTTCCAATTCTCAAGTTACCAAAAATATGAAAAGTTAAACAAACATAGGCACCCATGTATTCACAGGGATGACACAAAGCATGGAACTGAAGACAAACAATTTACCTTCACCACTTGAGAGAGACCTTTCTAAAGAAGAGCCCGCATCTTTTGGCAGAAGAACAGCGGGTATGCTGATATCTAAATTTGTTTCATTGGTCTCACATACCATCTTGTATAACTCTGCAAGTGGATGCACGATATGTGTTCACACCCTATGTTAGAACTCAGAAGACAAACCCACAGAAGCACTCATCTAATTACATTAACATGCTATATGAGTTTACATACATCATAAATAACAAGTGTCCTTGACATGGGTAAAACTAGCAAATCAAACAAGATTACAAGTTGGGTCAGCAAAGGCCCCAATGATTTAGGTTTAGTGCTGAGAGATGAGCCAATCAGAAGTAAAAGGACCAAAGAAATCTCAAAAAAAGTTATCACAACTTATAAAATATAAAGAATTTTTAATAGGTCTACACCAGTTCACTCACAAGGATTTATTTCATGCCACCAAAGGCTTTAATTCCAAGCATTCAATAGGTGTAGGTCGGTTTGGAAGGGAGTACAAGGGAGTCCTTCCCACATCAAAATCAGAGGTTGCAGTAAAGACGGTATCATATAACTCAAAGCAGGGAATGATAATACAGATGCTTGAATCTGAATATGGATTAATCTTACAAAAGATAACTGCAGACCTCAGAGAAAAGAGGGATAAACATTAAAAAGCAGTGTTCTTAAGTTTCGCCTAGGTGACGAAGTGCTCATGGGGCCCTGGCCTCCTGGGTGTCCACAACACCTTGGCAGAACCAGTGAGAAAAGGAGGAGAGAGGAAGGGAAGAAGAACAGGAGGCCAAGCAGCAGCAGCCAACACATCCCTGCCAGCTCCAGCATTGGTGGCCAGAGCAAACATTCCTCTGGTCACTGATGGTGGTGGCTGATCAAGAAAGGGAGTGGTGACAGTGGTCAATACGGAAGGGGAGTGGTGACAGTGATACATTTTAGGCCCAAGAAAGTGACATGGAGGAGGGGCTGATAGCTGGCAGAACGAGGAAGACAGGGAAGCAAGCAGCAGGGTTGGTATGGGAGCTGGAATTGTGGCGCTGCTAAGGGCGAGGAGGGATATGGCCTGGGGGGCTGGCTGCCTAATATGCTATGGGATGGGAGGATATGGCTTGCTTTGGTGGGATGGGCCAGTCTCCTTTGTCCTTCACTTTATTGCCTTTTTCCTTTTCTTTTTTCTTCCATCTTCCTCTGCTGTCATTTTTCTTCTTCTAAACAGTATGGTGTCGCCTCACCTCACAAGCGCCTACGTGCGAGTAATAAAAAACCATTCTAGTGGTGAAGGTATATGCTCGGCACTACCAAATTACTGAGGTGATCCCAATTCCATCCCTAACCTCAGCAGCTGCTTACATGGTGCTCCAACACAGGCCATAACCCATAAGTGGAGAGAATTGTAGCTTTAGAAGAAGCCATGACGGATTTCATATATGATGCATACCCTGCTTATCATTGATGATTATAATCGCAGAAGCACCAGCAGATTCAGCAACCCTAGCTTTTGTAGTGAACGTACAGTGTCCCCTCTCCACTAACAAAATATCTCCAGCAACCTAACAAAGGAATAAGAAATCACTAGGTAGCAATGCTTAGAACAGTAAAAGAAAGACAGAAAGCTAAATTATCATTTCCAGAAAGTCAACCTTCTCTTTTGGAGGGGTGCAGCAATCAGAAGTGTCTGCTAACAGCAAGTTTGTCCAGTTGGATTGCTTTTCCTTTGACTCTATCTTGGGGCCAAATCGAGCACCAACACCAACAAACTCAATTTTATCCTTTTTGTTGATCAAGGTCCGCACTTTTACCTGACAACAGAACAGGGGCAACATGTGATTGTAGAGAATAAGATAAGTGTGCTAAAGAATCCAAACATTCACCAGTATTTTTAGATATTCAAACTTTCAAAGTGACAATACCAAGTGAACTTCAAGTATAACGTGCATGACTTGTGGCTAGCTGATTACTTAGTCGTCAAAGAAGTACCAACCACCTTAAGTCGGGAAAATGTAATGGGCCCTAAGAACCACATTAGCTAGGTAGACATAATGGCCCTCAGATGTGGGAATACTGAACCAGATGGAGCACTAAGACAAACATCTAGCCATGAAAACAAATTAGATTGCTACAAGAAAAGCTGTCCTGCATACTGCATTACATGAAGCAATCATAGCAGCTATGGGGCTGAAACACACAAAAAAATGACAATGGATCAAAGAGGGTGTTCAGTTGCTAGCCACACTTCACCTTAGGCAAGTTGGCAACAAAGACTAGGAAAGATTCTTTTAGGATCCTCATGTCACAGAGTAAGAAAGTGTGGCAAGACTCCCTTAGATCCCTTTATATTTCAGGACAGAGGGAGTAAGAGTGAAATCCACTGGGGGTCCTTGAACTTGTCCCGCATTCTCAAATAGATCCATGTACTTCTAAAACCAGATTTTCAGGTCCCTAAACTTGCTAAATGTATCACCAAAGGTCCAAGCCGGTTTTGGAACCCTGGTTTTGCACAAGTGGCCGCCACCCTGTCTCCTCAGTGCAACTGCTCAAGGTGACCACACATGCCTCGTATGCCGCCGCGTCCGCAGGCACCACGAACGGGGCCAGGTGATGTGGGCCGCCATCCGCCAGCGACAGGTACAGGCCCAACCCCACCACCGTGTTGTACAGCGGGCTCGTGTAGCATCCGGACATGGCCGTCTGCGCGCCGCCGGACCCGCCATGCACCGCCATCGCCGCGCAGAGCGGAGTTCGTGTCCATGGTGGCCACGGCGAGCACCGCGAGTAGGAGGCCCAGGACACGCGCGCCCACTTCATCCCGGCTGCCGCGAATGCCACCGAGTAGGCCGCGTTGGCTTCAATGGACATGGCGTAGTAGACGATGGTGATGGCCGACATGGACGAGATGAGGCCCAGCAGCACGTCGCGGCCGGGCCGCCGGGGTTCTTGGTCTCCTCGGCCATGGTGGCCACCATGTACGTGCTCGAACCGTGTACGAACGGCAACAGGAGGTGGTGCACAGGACGACGACGGTGATCGGGTCCAGCAGATTGAAGCCGTCGGCGAGTGCGGGCACGTGGATGCGGAGCGCGTCGCTGTCGCGGCCAATGAGCGCCGCGATGTACGATGTCCAGGACCGGCCTAGGCCAGCCGCGACCACTACAAACCTCGAGCAAGTGGGAGACCGCCGGCTTGCGCCCATGCCAAGCCTCGTACGGCGTCCTGCCGTCGAGCGCCTTGGTAGGCGAGCGATTGAGGATGTAGACGGCCAACACCACCGCCTCTCCCCAGAAGACAGCCGGCATCCCCCTCTGCTTGAGAAGGGCCCGAGCCATCCCCACAACCGTCTGGTTGCGCCGCTCGATTACGCCGCGCTTCTGCTTTGGGGTGTTTGCGGGCGTGGAGTAGTGGCGCCAATACCCTCATTAGAGCGATGCGACGCGAACTCACCATTGCGTGAATTCGCCGCCGTTGTCGGTCGCGCAGAAGACGCGCAGCTTTGCGGCCGCGACTCGCCTCCGCAGCTGACATGCGCGCTGATGGCGCGTCCGCGACCTCTCCTTTTTGTCGCCGAGGACCATCACCCACATGTAGCGGGAGAGGTCGTCGACGAGCGCAGGAAGTAGCATCGTCCTCCCGGTGTGGCCGGTGTCACCGGGCCACACAAGTCCCCGTGCACAAGCTCGAGCCTCTCCTTGGCTCGAAAGCTCGCCAGCTGGGGAAAGGGGAGTCGCCTCTTCTCGGTCAACACGCAGACGTCGCAGAGCTGCTCCACATGGTCGAGGCACGGCAGGCCTCGCACCATCTCCGTGGCACCGAGCCGCCTGTGGCCTCAAAGTGAAGGTGCCCAACGCTGCGTGCCTTGCACGCCTTCGTCGTCCCGACGAAAGGCGAGACAGAGGGGTTGTGCCACCTGCACGTTAAGGACGTAGAGTCGATTTGCGCTTCTGGATACCTTGGCAAGAAGGCGACTACGGCGATCCCAAATCCTCATGACTCCATCCTCAACCACCACGCGCGAACCGTTCTCATCCAAATGTCCCCAAGTCGATGATGGAGTTCCTCAACGCGGGATGTATTAGACTCGGTGAGCGTACCTGTGCTCACCGACACACACGCGGTGAAGATGACGGAGCCGACGCCTTGATCTCCACGCCGAGGCATCCCCAAACTTGACGGAGCCTCGGACGCTAGGGTCAAGCTTCGGTGAAGAACTCCCGTCGACCGGTCATGTGATGGGTGGTGCCGGTGTCGAGGCACCACCCGTCGATCTTGTCGTTGTCGGGCTGTCGTCGAGGAGGCGCGTGCTTTTGGCTCGTCAAGGTGTGGAGGAGAGCTGCGCGGCGGCGGTGCATGCCGGAGGTAGCTCGATGCTTGCATGTGCCATGAACGAGCCGGCTCCTCCTCTTCCACTGTGCGGCGACGTGGGCCCGGCCGTCGTGGTGCCGACGATCCTTAGCCCAATGGCCAAGCCGCGCGCGAGCTAGCGGCGGCGCGTCTCGTCGGCTTGTACTGCCGCCCGCCGCCTGGCGCTTCACGGGCATCACCCTCAGACGTCCTCGCGCGCCGGCTCTGGGGCGTCTCGCGCGCGCTTTGCTGCTTTACACCGCTCGCGGTCGCTGTCGCGGAAGAAGCCTCCCCTTCTTCCGGTCCACCTTGGCCGGCAAGACATCGCTCCCGAGTGAGAAGGAGCTTCCCCAAAGGGTGGTGATGGGCCCCGAGAGAGACGTGGGTCATCGGCATCCAACGACCTTGAGGCGACCTTATCGCCTCCTCGATCGACATTGTGGAGAGATCCAGCAGAGAGACTTCGAGCGAAGCGAGCCATCCGCTTGTACTTCTCGACGCACGCAGGAAGGGCTTTTCGACAGCTCTCTCCTCGCGCCAGAGGTGTCATCGCCGAATCGCACCATCTTCTCGCAGCGAGTGTTGAGACGGAGAGCAAAGTCATCAACGCCCTCACCGGCTTGAAGGCTGTGTTCTCCCACTCCTTGCGGCGCTCGCTGCGCAGGTGGACTTGCGGGTGCGGGCACTGCCAATGCGTGCCGCAGCGATGGCATCCCAAGCCTCCTTGGCAGTCCGCTTGTTGGTAAGCGAGAACTGCATCTCGGGCGGGACTGCAGCGATGAGGGCATCCAGCGCCCGCCGATCTAGGTCGTAGTCGACGTCGCCATACCGGACTGCCTCCCACATGTGCCGCACCTGGAGCTTTACCCTCATCACCGCAGCCCACTCGACGTAGTTGGTCTTGGTGAGGGTAGGCTACCCACCGCCGGGGCCGACGTCCCTGACAACAGCCTGGAGCCCGTGGTAACCATGGTACCGATCCAGGGTGAGAGAGCCACGTTGTCTGTGAAGGCCGCGCTCTCCATCGACCCGTCGGTACCGATCCGGGGAGAGAGAGCCACGCTGCCTTTGAGCCACGCTGCATGTGAAGGCCGCGCTCTCCATCGACCCGTCGGTACCGATCCGGGGAGAGAGAGCCACGCTGCCTGTGAAGGCCGCGCTCTCCATCGACCCGTCCGCCACCGTTGTCGTGCGCGCCTCCTCCAGGAGCGCCGCCGGCGCGTCCGCGCCTGTCTAGGCTGCCGCCGCGCTCGTGGGCGTGCGCGGCTGCCCACTGCACCGCCCGCGCTCGTCCTGCCTCCCTCCCCAGCAGCTTCGAGGTCCGCGTCGGCGCTATCGTCAGCAGAAACGGAACTGTTGATGCTGCCGCGCAGGGCCTCGACCTCTGCCGCCGCCGCACGCGCTGCATCCGCCGCCGCCGCTGCTTCCGCCTCCGCTCTGGCTGCTACCAGCTCCGCCGCTGCCAGCCTCGATGCCCTTGCCGCCGCCGCAGCGGTCTCTGCCGCCGCTCGCTCGCGTTCCTCTGCCGCGGCAAGTTCGGCCTCCTGCCGACGCCGCGTGCTCGAGGCGACCGAGCGCTGAGACTGCCCTGCGGACATGACACGCTACCGGGGGACTGCTGCGTGGGGAGAGGGCTGCTTCAGACTGCGCAGAGGGAGAGGAGTGAGCAGGAGCGGCCGGAGGAGCTGCTGCTGCCAACAGCTGGGGCTGTTGTAGGGCTGGGAAAGAAGATAAGCAGGAGATGCTCATGCTACAAGATAGTACGGCTCTGATACTCAGTTGTTAGTCGCTGAATTCTTACTCTTGGTAGTAGTAGAATTCTTACTCTCATCGAGAGAGGATGACACTAGGAGTCGGGGTAAGTTTCTGGTTTATTTCTCACACAAACTCACACAAATGTCATGCCAACCTAAGAGGTTGGGGGTACATATTTATAGGCTGCTAGCCAGCCAAGCATATGCCAAGATGTTAGTCTAAGATGCTGTCCTCTAGATGCTAGTCTAAGATGCTGTCCTAAATGCTAAGATGCTATCCTCTAAGATGTTGTCCTCTAAGTCAAGGATGCTATCCTTGATGGGCAGCAAGACCACCATGGTGCTGCAGCCCCACAAAAACTGCTGCAGCCCCCATAAAGACCACATAGACTTATCCATCAATGAGAGAATCCCAGCAGCTTAGTTGAGTTGAATGAGCTTACACTAAATCTGGGCTTTATCTTGAAATAAGGGAACAGGAATAAGCTAACAACACTGGGGTTCCGCCAATAATCCCCAATTGGCAGCATTGTTTTTTTCGATCAATCAAATACCATCATTCTCAAACTTGAAAGTTGTAAATGCCATCATATGTCTAATGAAGTGCATAAAGGCAAGGACAATCCTCCGTATAATTTACAGCATATGTAATGAAGCACTAGAGGCTCCATAGCCGACGCTCCTGTACGAGGCGAGACCGTACGGCGACCTAATCGCGACTCTTCCGGTCCAAGCAAATGACGTGGCTGAACACCCAACCCAATCCACGCACCAAAAAAAAAATTCAAGCGACGGTACAGCCACCCGAGGAGAGATTGCAGACTCCCCAAGTCCACGAATTCAATCCCTAGTTTAGCCCCCAAACACCCAATCCGAGACTCACGGGCCCCCCAAACCCTTGCTAGCATCGGACCACCAGCAGGAGGCACCCCTTACCAGCACGAAGTCGTTGGAGCATCCGGGGATCTTGGGCGCGTCGTCGTCCTGGAGCCTGATGTCCCCTCCGGCCGCCACGGCCGCCAGCGCGAGCAGAACCACCAAGGGTTCCAGCGCCCCGCGGGCCATAACCACCACGCCGACGCAGCGAAGGAGGCGAGGCGGGCACGATGCGATGGATTTCGACGCCGATCTGCTGCGTGTGGACTGGAGGCGGAGGAGTAGTGGAGGAAAAAGCGAGGGAGCCAGCAGCCGCCTCTTTCTCTCAAAACACCTTCCTGCCCGCCCGTTGGCTTCGGTTTTCTCGGCGCGGAAACAACGAATGGTCGTCTTATCGGCGGCTGCGCTACTGCCCGCCCGTTGGGTACGGGCCTACGGCGGGAGGGTCCACCGGTCAGACGTTTCTTCTTCGTCTTCCCGTCACCGTCAGCTTCGTAGGGCGATCCGATACGGCACTCGGGTAGGCAGTCACAGGAAGCAACAGTGCTCGTCCTACTAGTACTAGTACCGCCCTGTTCGGCTGCTCTTTTTTCAGCGTTGCAGCCAAACCATGGTTAGTTGAGAAATGAAGAGAAATCGTTACCTTTTGTATGAGATGAAAGAACTGTTGCAAAATGGAATTCATTCAGGACCGGTTTGGCACGGCTCCTCCGGAGGAGCCGGAGCCATTTTAGAGGAGCTATAATTTAACAGCTCCGGCTCCTCTATTTTTTATAGAAAAATGATTCTTTTAAGAAAACGTTTGGCAAGGCTCCTCTAAAGAAGCTGGAGCCGGAGCCGGAGAGGACCCTTGCCAAATAAGTCCTCATGGGAAAAAATCGCTTCTGGCACATTTCCGCTAGACTGTACAGTGCACGTTGCAAAGACGATCGATGTCACACATCAGAGAACATTTGCCAAAAACAAAATAAATTAAAACAAAAGACACAGAAAAAAGGCTAATTAGCTCTCCAGTCCCGCGTTAAAATTTTGCACCGGATCAGTGCAGCCGATGGTGGGCCTGGAGCTGGCGGTGGCGCCACTCGTGGATGGCGGAGCGGAGCGCGTGGTTGGGGACCAGCTTCCGCGTCGGGAGCTTCAGGTTGGTCATCGGCGACGTGTCGTGGCCGCTGCCCAGCCACTCCACGATGGCCTCCGCCTCGTACGTGAACCCGTCGCCGGCGATCTGCGGGTCCCTCATCACCTCCTTGAGTATCGGGCAGAGGAAGTAGGACGGGGCGCCGTCTGACTCGGACAGCGACGACGGCGACCTGCTCGGCGCGGAGCTCATCGCGGCCTCCAGCACGCCGCGGGCCTCCTCCAGCAGCACCGCGGCGGGGACCCGCGGCCTCCGCTCCGCCTCCGCCTCCACGTCCACGTCCACACCGCAGCATCTCAGCCCGAGCATGGCCACCTCCCTGGCGCGCTCCGTCGGCCACCCTCCCGCCGTCACCTCCTGCCACGACGCCCTGCCGCCCGCGGCCTCCCGCGCCGCCTTCCTCGCCAGGAACGCCGGCCTCCCGGTCACCAGCCGGAGGAGGACCACGCCCAGCGCGTACACGTCGCAGTGCGGGGTCAGCTCCCCCGTCGCAGCGAGGCACCGCGGGTCCGCGTACGCCCGCGCCGCCGGGCCGGCTCCGGGGCGCTCTCGCTCCTCAACGAGGCCGCGCACGCCGAGGCCGGCCAGCTTGCACGACCACCCGCGCCGCGCGTCGTCCTCCACCACCAGGATGTTCGCCGGCCTCACGTCGCCGTGCACCGTCGCCCGCGGCAGCGTGGAGTGCAGGAACGCCAGCGCGGAGCACGCCCCGTACGCGACGCCGCACCGCGCGTGCCACGGCAGCGGCGGCGGCGCCGACCCACTCCCGTTCCCGCCTCCCGGTTCCGGACCCAGGCGCTCCTCCAGGCTCCCGCCCGGCACCAGCTCGTACACGACGGCGCGCGCCGCTGGGCACGCGCCCACGAGCGTCACCACGTTCGGGTGTCTCGCCCGGCTGATGCCTTCCACCGCACGGGCGAACCGGGCCTCGTCCACGGCTACGTCGCGGTTCACCACCTTCACGGCGACGGCCATGTTGCGCAGCTCCCCTCTGTACACTTTGCCCCGGCCGCCGTCGCCGCCGCCGCCGTCGCCATCAATCCGGACAGACTCGTCGAAATGGTTGGTTCCCTCGTCCAGCTCCGAGTAACCCAGCTGCAAGAAGCTCACTCTCTGCTCGCCGCCGCCGTCCTCTGTGGACGTGGACGTGGACGCGGACGCGGACTCCCTCGCAGTGCAAGGATGATGTCCTTGCTGGAGTGTGTCCAGGAGGTTGTACGATTCCGACAGCCTGGCCTCGAGGTCGTTCATCGTGCGCTCCGAGCTTGTGATCTGGAGCTCCAGCTCGGCGCTCCGGTCGTCGACCTTCCGTATCTGCTCCAAGATGTCGTTGAGCTCTCGCCTGTCCTGCTCCATGGCCGCGCGCTCTCTCGCCACCATCTCCTCCACCTCCTTCCGATGCCTCGCCTCTCTCTGATACGATCTCTCTGCTTCGTCGGCCTACATCCATCACATACATACATACATACACATGGTCATCAGCTACATACATACATATGGTCATCAGCATGATTTTTGACAGGAAGTGGTGAAGTTTCGTTTTGTGACCATCTTGGACGCTTCGGCGAGCTCGCGCTCAGCCATCTGACGCCGGCGAGTCTCTTCGTACGCCTCGTGCTTCATGTTCTCAGCTTCCATGAGCACATGCTTCAGCTTCTCGTACAAGGCATCATCCATCTCACCAGCATCCTGGCAAAACAGAATGAACTGTTCATCGCCCGAAAAACATGTTCCTGACAGACGCAGTGGCTGGACAGATCGAGTGCAGGACAGTCTAAATGCACATGGTAAATCTATATACACTGTACATGTATTTTTCAAACCAAATGAATTTATTTTTTGAAACGGAAGCTTTTAAACCAAATGCATATACTAGACAATTTTCAGATTCCTTTGGAAGCCAGCTTGGACTGCACACTGTTTACTGTCTGGATTATCCTGTGTCTGAACTCTGAAGAAGTTAGAATGTGAGGTACTCCTAAACACCACAATGTATCTGATAACCTCCAATTTTGCTCTTAATTTCTTCACTTTTCCTAAGGACACCAATTTACTCCGATACTTATTTCATAATAAAAATCAGAAGTTGGCACGTACCGAACCGTCCGATGCGGGCGTTTCCCGGTCCTCTTCAATCTCTTGTAGCAAATGCACAGTTGCCGGTTCCACTTGAGCCCCCACAATTTCAGAGATGGACTCCGCTGAGGATCCAGCAATGGCGGTTGCTTGATTATTTGAATCCTCTATGTTAAGGTTCCTTGCAGGAGTCTGTTCAGCTGATGGATCGTCTGATTCTTGTGTGCTGAATGTCTCGCTGCTGCGCAGGCGTGGCGAGGATTTCGATCTCGAGTAGTCCGAAGTGCTTGACCTGGGGCTTGTGCTAGCCGTGGACGATTCAGCTCTATGTGCTTGTCCCTCGCTCGCCTCCCTGTACCAGTTGCCAGAGAGGTAGATCGAAAACAGGAAATAATTCATTACTCCTCCTCCTACTACTACTTTGCAAGCAATTTTTACATACAGGAAAACTATATCGCATTTTTTTTTCTAAAAAAAAGGTACAACTATGTCGCATTCGAATAAAATGAGTCCTGCTACTAGTTTGGCCTCGTTCAGTTACTCATGATGTGAATGAAAGGAACCAGAGAAAGCTCGCTCCTTGACCGAAGAACGTCAAATTTCTAGACAGATAGGACACAAACAATAAATCTAACACATGTTCAGTTATTGTGAAAGCTACCACAGGTCCACAGGTTCTAACACTTCTACACTAATTCCAGGCAAAGCAACGTACGCATACACAAATGTCTTCGCCATTTAATTCGGAAGTTGTCAGGAAGATGGAAAGAACAGACTTTCGCAGTTAGCTCCTTTTTGATGAACGCAAAATGAATACCTGGTGCAGATAAGATTTCCCCTGCAGACGAACCAGACCCTGCAAGAGGGATTCGCCTTCCGCTGCACCGTCAGCGCCTTCTTAGACCTTGGCGCCCGCATATTCCTAGCGTCACGATCACGTTGCATCAAGACAGACAGACAGACAGATAAGAGTCTTTGTTACCATGCTAATCAACATTGATCAAGCAAGAACAAGGATGAACGAACGACAAAACCTACGGCACACAAGAGCTGAACCACCATGTCAGTGTGCCTGAAGTCTGACCGACCTATTGTCATATATTACCATATATACCTGCTGTACGCCCGATCAGACGCAGCGCCCATGACGAGCTCGGTGACCCCATGGTCGTCAACCAACTGCACGAGACCCCTGGCGATATCGTCGCTCGCGATGATGATCTTGCTCGCATTCACCTACGGAAGTTTCTGAAACTCGTCAGAAAATTCAGATGTCATTAGCAGTAGCAGGCTGAACTGAACCTAGGGAAGAAGCTAAGCCGGGGTGGGTAAGGCTATTATCATCTGAACACGGTGGAACCTAGAGACTGCTGAAAAGGCTCATGTCGACATTGACAGGTTGGGAATCGATGCAGAGACGATGACAAAAAAAAACAAGATCTGGAAAGGGAGCAGGTGTTCAACCTTTTGACTATGGCAAGTTTCCACGAGGTCGTCTAGGACTTCGGCGATCCTCTCTTCCTCCAGCTGCCTGTACGCAGCCACCTCCTCCTCTGCAAGCTGGCTCACCGGGACCCACGCCCCCACTGCAGTAATCCATGGGTCCAAAATGATTATATATTTTCTTTTGAAAAGAATTGTTTAAGATTTGCAAAGACACAACACAAGAACAAGCGTAGACTGTAGATGCAGGGACACAGTGGCAACTAATCTTGCATAACAGGCAGTAACATGAAGGATCGGAGTTCAAATGGTTAGCTGAAAGAATTCATTAGTTTATTACGAACAATACATGTTGGTTGGCCATGTCGTCCAAGAAATGGAAGCTGTTAAAGATGAATGCCCCTCTGAAACTCGAGGAGTCAAACTGGCAACGGTGCTCGGGGGCGGGGGGCTTGCATTTGTTTAAGATCTTTTAGGAGTCTCGTGTCTGAGATCCTGATTTGATCATTACAAATTAGACTATTTTCGCATAAATAAGCAGGCATCAGCAGCATACAAGTCTTCAGTTTCCAGGAAGGGGACATCAATTTGAGTACTCATATTCTTTCTTCTTAATAAGAGCGATGTGCTCTCTACCATATATACAGTCTCTTTATGGGGGTTCTTGCAATCTTAGGAACGCAATACTGTGTTGTGAATTACTGCAAGAACAATCTTTTATGGAGGATTATTGTTGAGAAATTAAACAACAAACGATCGATCACACATTCACACTTGAAAACCCTGCGATGCCAAATTACAAAGACACTATTGCTTACCATGAGAGAGACTGAGAGAGAGAGAGAGGAAAAAGAAACGAAGGGATGGACTAGAAGAAAAAGAAACCATTCATGAATCATTTGTGAACTCCGTGTCCGTCTCTCTCTCTCTCTAAAAAAAAAAAGATGTGAACAAAACTGAAAACGGCATGCAATGCAATGCAGGCAAGCGAGCAGGATAAAGAAAGAACAATAGTAAGGAGAGGATAAGACCTGGAGACAGTAGCTAGCTGCTACCTTACGTAGGAAACGACAAGTAGAAAGAAGAAGCGGAGAGGGGGTAGCTGGAGAAAAATGCAGGCAGGCAGGCAGAGGAGGGGAAGGGAATGCATTATGCTAGCATGTGTTTCGAGAGAGAAAGCAGAGGGGGCAGAGGAAGGGCATGGGAGGCACGCACTGATGTTGATCCGGGAAGTGGGGCGGCGCAGGTGCGCGAGCACGAGGCGCCTGCTGCTCCGGCGGGGGGCGAGGGCGGCGAGCACCCAGCGCAGGTTGGCCTTCCATTCCTTGGCCGCCTGCGCCTGGTTCCGGCTGCCGCTGCCGGTCCCAATCCCCACGGCGCAGTACACCGCCTGCGCGTGCTCCTCCTCCGTCTCCTGATTCTGATGCTGGTGGCGTCCTCCTCCTTCCGGCTGCGGCTGCCCCCGCTCGTCGCCGTCGGGAGCAGCAGCCGCGGCCCGGGCCTGCCCTGGTAGTGGTAGTTGTACCGCTACCGCCGCCTCCATAGGCACAGGCAGTGGCGATGGTTCAGCGGAGCAGGGTGTACGTACACGTACTGTCGTCGGCGAGGCGGCCGCCTCCGCCTCCGCTCTGCTCCCAGCGTGTACCATCCGATCCGACTGGGTTTGGAACGAGCCAGCGATGGATGGAATGGAATGTAAAAGGGCAGGAGAGACGGCGGGAGTGAGGGCCCACACGACCCGAACCGCCCGGGCGCTGACTCGCGGGGCCGGATATTCCTGGTACCTTTTTGCCTCTACTAGTACAGGACTACACGAGAACTGCTGACTGATCTCATTCTCATCCGTGTGCTTCTTTCTTTTCTCCTCTTCTCCAATCGTATCTACTTTAATCTATGTATATTAGAATAAATTATGATGAAATTTGATTTGTTTTTTATTCTAATTTATTTACTTAACACATATGAATTGAGATGAATACGAGTGCATTCATCAAACTAACCCTAAGAGAAAAATTCTTTGTCTATACTTTTCTCCACGTGGGAAATAATTTTTGGCTAGAGTAGTAATATTACTTTATATTTGCATTGTGGCTCATAAATTAAGCACTTGTGCTAAAAACATATATAGCTACATGCTTTTAAGTTAGATTCAATTCTTTTAACTGTATTTCTTGATGAGGACAAGAATCCTCCGATTTGGATTGAAGGATGAGGTTGGAGCGACAAGGATGGATGGTGTGACACTATGACCAGCAGTGGGAGCGCCGATGGATAGGGACCGTGGTGCGGCAGCGGAGGTAGGAGATGAGCCTTATTGTTGCTAGCAACCACGCACCAGGAATGAGTGTCCCATCCTCATACGTGGAGGATCGGATGGGAATGGGACACACGAGTGAGTTAAATGAAGACAGACGCTAGTTGCGCTCATGTACCACCATGTAGCATAACCGTCGCGCGGTCTCTCTAGTAGAACATCTTTTCTGCGACTTTGTATTGTGACCCAACTCAGTTCACTCCACGTCGGTCCTTCCCACCCACGAGCTAGTGAATAATTGATGCTGGGTCTTTTCTAGTGGGATCCAACCTATTCAAAATTTGTCTTCTAACTTGTACTATAGAATGTTACGTTCATATAGAGCGGTGTACACCCAGTGTACATGCCCAAGAGTAGGGATGCAAGTAGGCAAACCCACGAACCTGTATATAGGCTGAGAACCCACGAAATTAAGCTTGGGCTCGCGGGCTAGCCCACTTGCATCCCTAGCCAAGAGCGAGCATCCAAGGTAGGAAGGTCGACTTCTTAGGGCACCCACAACAACTAAAATAACTTCCTCTCTATAGTAATGCCACATAGAATACAATGATCGGTATAGATACATGCCCAATAATTTAGCTATAACCCAATTTTCTAACATTATTATGCCTACTATTGTTGACTACATGGCCTCGAATACCTTCACCGAGGCTATAACGGTCTCCCAGAGGGGGTGGGCTAGCTTGACTGCCCCAGGACGAATCCAACACCAACTTGGCAGACAAGACATATACAATATAGAGACATAGAATAGAAACTGACTCCATCTATGATAACCGACTAGAAAATTAACCTGTAAGATCACGACTCTATTCGTAATCGGCTTGCCATCAGAGTTTTCACGGCTATAAGATGGAGATTAAAGCGTCATGGTGCCTTTTCTACCTCTACCTATTGTCCTTTCCTCCATCTAGCTTCCTTTCCTCTGTGTCAACATGCACCTCTATCTAGCCACCACAGCAAAACTTTCTTAACCCGTTCACATTGTGGTTGTCCCTACCCCAAGCCACCCTATGATTCTTTGTTACTGTCTCTACTCCATCATCAATCATCATCATCATCATCGTCATCTCCACCCACCTTACTCACTAAACGTCATCTACTACCCTTGTTGGCAATGCCCTCCTTGGCTTGCCCACTATCTGCCACCTAACCTATCATTGTGGCTATACCCCTTAAATCCCACGGGACTTTGATGACTCTAATCCAATCCTTAGCTCTCGAATAGGAGTACGTTCACGGGTTTGCTTGGTTCTCTTGCCCATTGCTCGCCTCACCCCGTTGAGCAAAGCTAGCCTTGCTAATGCAGATAGGTTGAATTGGCTCACCCATGCCAGCGAAGCCAATCCTTGTTTTCACAGGTTTCAATGCAGCCAACAAGGGATCCACACATTGTTCACGATTCTACTTCTTGCTGGGCCAAGAGAAGGGAGGGTGAGCAAGTGATCAAGAGCACACCATAACCTCCATGATGAGGTCACAGATGAGGTCACAGAAGACAGATCTAGAAAAGTGAATTCAACACGGACGCATCAGCAAACAATAAGGATTAGGTGTTGGCAAGGCACTAACGCTAGATTGATTGTTGTTTCTTAGTTTTTGGATCATGTGAAATACTTAGATGAAGTATGCACTGGTGAAGCTAGACATAGGCTAATCGCATGTCTATGTATTACTTACAGCTAGCACAGCATAGCGTGGCCGGAGTAGTTGTTTGTTCTTTATGCTGATGACGAAACTATGAAACGCGTGTTTAGCTGCCTATTCATCTTGCCCAAAGTGCAAGCGCAAGCGTACGTGCAACTAATAATGCACACAAAATGTGTGTGTGACACCGTACCTAACCAGCCTGTGCTGGGTGAGGGTGAGAGACGTGCCAGGTCATTAGTATCTTCATCCTAGAAAAGAATGTTATTTTAAGTTTGTAAAAAATCAAAATTTTAAAATATGACTACGTTTATTATATAGAAAGTATTACCAAAAAATGTATCTCTAAAGTTTTTATATAGGAAAATATATTATATGATTTATTGAGACCTAATGGTATTTGTTATATACTGTAAATATTAGTATTTTTTTCTTTATATGGGATGATGAAATTTGAGATTCATTGACTCCTCGAAAAAGTGTAACTAACATTATTAATTTTTTGGATGGAGGAGTATTATTATGCAGATAATAATAGTTGTTTCTGGACCAACATCAGGATACACGTACATGCATGAATGCTCGATATATATCCCAGCCCACATCTAGAACAGGAATATCCCATGAGCAGATGTGGATATGCTTTCACTTGACATTAACAAAACATCAGTAAGAGTTGCAACTAGATGTTTCTTGGACAAATATAAATACTACGCACCATATCCTTGCATGACATGAACACACTGCTGCACCCCACGGTCTGGTCTTAATAGCGCAAGCACACTATTACTGTTCATTAGTACTTGCACCTAGCTAGCCCAAACACTGCTGCATATCGTAATGCTTAATACTGACTGCATATATAGAGGCGACGGCGGCAGAGTGTACGCGATTCTTAATGCTCGCAGCATTCGACCTACTAAACAAAGAAATGCGGGTACAGACTATTAAAACTTGCACTACTGGAGGCGTCCTCTTTGCTGAGGGCCCAAGGCACTCGGCAAAGGCTCAAAAGTCCTCGGTAAAGGCTTTGTCGAGCGCCGCTCTCGGCAAAGAGCCTTCGGAAAAAAATTTAACGGCAAAGAGGCTCTTTACCAAGGGCTATTTGTCAGGCACTCGGCAAAGCCTTTTCCGAGTGCCAACGGCGACACTCTAGCAAAGAAAAGCAGCCGTCAACGGCGCTGCTCCGTTGACGGCGCCTTTGCCGAGTGCCGACAGTTAGGGCACTTGGCAAAGATATTTTTTTATTTTTTTTCAAAAACTCTTTGCCGAGTGCCACGGCGGCGCGCACTCGGCAAAGACATTTTTTAATTTTTTTAAAAAACTCTTTGCCGAGTGCCTCCCCAGCTTGGCACTCGGCAAAGATTTTTTGCTTTTTTTAAAAAAAAATCTTTGCCGAGTGCAATGTCCTGGCACTCGGCAAAGTTTCTCAGCTTTGCCGAGTGCCATGACCATTGCACTCGGCAAATCAACCGAAATTGTAATTTTTTTTGTTTTTTTCATTCCACTGACACAAACAGTTCAAATATATATCACATGTCATATATATATCACAAACATCACAATAATCACATATATATCACAACGAAACCATTTTCACATATTATATCACAACCACAACTCAAATAATAACATATCTCAACCACAAGTCAAATATCACAACCATAAGTCACAAATTCACAACCACAGTCCATCAAATCCAAACACAAGTCACAACCACAAGTGAAGCTCAAGTCTAAGCACATGACGAAGCACAACTCCTCAAAAAAGCGGCCTATGACACGATGGTGAAGCAAAGGCTCCATCATTCGGTGGCGATATGAGCGGGGTTATTCAAACTACTTGACGGAAGCTGCAAAAAAGGATAAGAGGTTGCATGTGTGAGATTCATCTAGTAAGTTTCTATGTGAAGTATTGGTGTATGTCATAGCTAGTGCAAGCATCTAGTAAGTTTCTATGTCAAGCATCTAGTAAATTGAGAATGTCAAGCATGGTTGTATGTCATAGCTAGTGCAAGCATGTAGTAAGTTTCTATGTCAAGCATATAGTAAGTTTATATGTCAAGCATGGTTGTATGTCAAGGAAGCATCTACTAAGAGTGAACTTTCATACTTACAGAGTGGTGTCAGAAGTAGGCGGTGGAGGAGCTGCCAACAGCAAAGGTACACCCCTTTGTGGACACTCATGAAGGCCTCCATTTCTTGCATCCTCCTCTCTTGGGTCATGAACGCTTCCCTCTGGGCCCCTACAACAGCGCTCTGAGCCTCGACCACGAGCTTGGGCTGCAGCTCGGCCCGCAATACAAACTTTAATGTTTCATGAATGCAAATGTAACTTAGGTGTGCAAAGATGAACGTCTGACAGTAAAAAACAGACGTACCTCGAGAGCGTCGACCCACCTGCAGGTGTGAGAGTAGGCCGTGGGCGTATGGGGTGGTTGAGCTCGTGCTCGTGCTCGAGCATGTCGAGAGAGGAACAGTGGTGGAGTCGATGGCGCCGCCCTCTGCAATCCACAAATGACCGCCCATGCTTCTTGCCTCTTCCTAGCCTCATGATGGTCTCTCTCGCATCAATGGGCTCAG